AGATAGATAGATAGATAGATAGATAATAGATGGATGGATGGGTGGATGGATGGATGGATGATTGAGATGATAGATAGATGATAGGTAGAAGATTATGATGATGACAGCTAGCTAGCTAGCTAGCTAGAGATACCTAGCTCATGCAGAATTGCAGCTATTGACAATGTGTGAAATAAAATAGGCACCGAATTCAAAACACCTAAAATAGGCACCAAGTTCAAAAATAAAATAGGCACCGAGTTCAAAACACAAAGCGCTACCACATTTGGAATCAATTCTCAATATCTCTAATTCAAACAGATCAGGCAAGAGTGGATGACAATGTTTCGGTTTGCTGTCCCAAAAGCTGCAGCAAATTAACCTCAGATTGGTGATAGCTACACTGGGTCACCATAAATTAGTAGATGACTCCTGAAGCCACAGGAGGGCATCCCCTTTTGTTGGACCATTCGCAATGTTCCAAATTCATAAGCCAGGGACTGCATTTTCCAGAAATGTTAATTAGACTGGCTATTAAACTGGGGGGAGGAAACAAACGGAAAAGAAGGCATAGTATTCAGACCATAAGATTTGCAATATTAGTAACAGTACAGGTTGATTTATGCAAAAAAAAAAATCGGCTTCTACCAATGCTGGACAATACGGAGCATGTGGATCAATGATCCAAATTTGTATAGGCCAGTCCCATATAACATGGAAAGTGACTGCTATTTGGCACATGCAGTAGACCACACTTGAAATGGACATAGTATCTTTCTTCAAAAATAACTGATTGCCTGGTCTTCTTTCAATTTTAACTTATGTTCTTCTTTTCTTCTCTGTTGCTGAATTCAGTACCAACAGAACTCATTGGCCAGGAGGTGAGGTAAGGAAAAATATCTTCTCGAATCCTTGGGTCTGATTCATGCATGCCTATATTTCTCTTGCTATTTCATGAATGTGACGTGTTGAGCTGAAGTTAGATGAGACAACACAGGAACTCTGGAACTTGAGACAGCCACTTCACACATGGTATCACTTGAAACTGTGCATGGGAATCCACCAGAGAGCAAGTGGCATCACATGTGTCATGATATCATTGTGCCAAACGATGTAAATTATGCAAGCCATTGTGGGGCCTATGAAATGCTTATCAAAACTTATAAAAACTCACTTTTCATTCGATCACAGAAAAGAACAGGTTTATTTAACCCCACTAACCCCCATTTTAAAAAAATGGGGGAGGTCATGATTGGGCTGTGCTTGGCAAATATCTACACACACACACACACACACACGTGTGTGTGTGTGTGTATGTGTGTGTGTGTAATTAAAACACAAGTTGTAACTTTCAAATAAAATTATGCCCAGGATGACCACTTACTTTTTCAATTATCACTTGTTCCAGAAGAAACAGTACAATCAAACCAAAGGGGTATATTTTTCACTTCCAATGATTGCAGCTGAAGAGATTTATCCACATCCTAAATTTTCCCATTGCCATCAGCAGTGCTTAAACATATTTGGATACTGAAATAACACTAGTAATTGAGAAGAAGTTCAAAATAATTTGAAGAAAATAATCCTGCCTGGACAATATGGTTTGTCCTGAAGTTGGTAAAATTCCAGCATAGCAAAATATGTGGGATCAAGAGGCAGTTGTCCAGTTCCCCACACTCATTGTTGTGAGAACTGTATCCACCCTCTTATCTATGAAATTCAGGAGGTGCTCCGTCAACAGAATAAGGAGCATACAAAAGGGTTGCTCAGCTATAGAGTCAGAACTAGCCCTGGAGATTGTTCTTCTCCTTAAATGCTGCTCTGAAGGAAAGATGAGAAAGGGCCCTTTGTTTCTTGCCATTGTGATCAGTTGAAAGGAAGAAGACAGGCCAAAAGGACCAGCAGGTGAGGGATTGTGGGAGCTGAAGTCCATCCAACACATCTGGAGGGAGGCAGGTGATGATCAAATTCACCCTTATGGGGAATCAGAAGTCATTTTTATGGGAAAGAATGTATGATTAACATCTACTTTAAATAAAACTCCCTTGATAACTTCCCTTTACTCTGCCTTGTTCAGCGTTGCACATAAAGATACTTCCAGAAAGACTGGAGCAAGTTAAGGGCAATGGAGAAAACAATTTATATGGGTGTCTGCCAGGGGAAGGTAAATAAGTCAGATGAGTAGCCCTGGGGATGGGGGGATCACACCTGTCACCCCTCTTTAAAAAAAAAAATCAGAAATGATCCTATTCTAAAAACTAGAACTCGCATTAGAAGAACGTGAGAAACACCTTCTTTTAGAAGAATCTGTCTCACCACAAATTGAAAGGCCAAATGCGTTGGCTGGTTTACTAAATAAAACCTAGGTGGGACATAGCATTGCTCTACAGAAGACTTTCCTAACCACAACTGGGTGAGGACGGCACTGCTCCAGATCGCCAATCGGTGTGATGTACTGGGTATCACAGTTTGCACCCCTTTGGAGGGTGCCAAGTTTGTGGAGGCTACTGTTCCCTGCCACAGTTTTCTTGATCCAAATGCTCAAGACCTCGCCACCCCTTGGATGGGCCTTCAGCTTCTACTTCAGTCACAGTTTTGCCTCAACCCCAGCATAGACAGACCTCTTTGCAGAGTCGGGCGGGCTTTAGAAGTGGCACCTGGCAACTGAAGTGACTCCATCTGCTTGGCTGCATCCAGATTCTACCCTCTCGTACACACCCTGCTGTGTGTACAAGTGTAGCCATCGCCAATTTCTCTGCCTCCTTGGAACATACGCAGCACTCCTCTTCTTCTCACATTGTTCATTTCTTTCTCCATCACCTCCTCTCCTTTTGTCACAGGCACAGCCTGGGCTTCAATTAGTCGATTAATTGTCCAGTTAATCAGGCAGTTAGGGGACAGCTGCAGTGATGGTTGTGTGCAACCAAGCTGCCCCTTAAATATGTCATTGGCTTCAATTGCCACCTCCGCTGGCGTGCTCAACAATAAAATGCAGGCGAAGTGTGTGCCTGCCACTCAGGAATCTGGTATCTCAAGAATAACAACCAGTTCTTGAAGCAGAAACCCTGTAGGAAGCTGGACCGCATAACTTCCAATTGCTCTTTGATGCATGGGGTTTTCTAATGAGAAAGGAACAGAAAAGCACCTCTGTTATTTGCCCCATGAGGCTGAGTTCTTCCCCTGTGAACCTGAACGCTTGGTGTGTTTTTAATAACACTTGGTGGATTCCTAAATCTATAATTTAGATATTTCCAAATTCTGAGCTGTTAGATATTCTGGTTTTATTTGGCATCTATTCACTCATGATCCTCTCTGGAATTCAAAGAGAAAATCGGTGTCATCAAAAGACTTTCTTCTTGGTCTTCATTGTTATTAAACTTATTATTAAGGGAACCGGAGATATTTTTAGATGGCTTCAGTGTGGTTGATCTTTTTAGTCTCTCCATGCGGTTTGTTTAACATTTATTTTAATTTTTTGGTGTTGTTTTTCATGTTTAATCATGGCTTTTTATATTTTTATCATGTTTGTTTTTATATATTTGTTGTGTTATTGATTGTTGTACGCTGCCCAGAGTCTTTTTTTGTGAGATGGGTGGCCATATAAATATGATTAGTAAATAAATAAATAAAACTCATCAGAGTTAAGCTGGCAAACTCCAGGTAGTAAGGGTTGCAAATGTACTGCTAAATTAGGGGTTAATCCCACAGGTTATCAGTTAGCATGACCGCCACATGTATTTTTCTGAATAAAGTCTCCCTTGAGTTGAACTCAACTCCTGGTAACCAGATAGTATCCAGTTAGTTTTCTTACCAACACTACAGAAGTAGTTTCCTATTGCTTTCTTCCAGGATTTTTTCTATTTTCCAATCTAACCTACAGGCCTAGGGTTTCTGGGTGATCTCCCATCCAAGTATTATCTTTTGAAGATGAAGTAAGATCAACTAGATGTTGTTATTTCCTTAAGCGAAGGTTGACTTATACAACTACATTTTGCACAGACAGAAGCAGAGGTGTCTTCAAAGGAGGGAGGATAAGGAAGGACAAATGACCGAATGAGTGTTGCATTACAACAACACAAGCTCCACCCCTTTTGTAGGTGTGTCAAGAGATCACAAGCACATACACATACATGATGGGTGGAATTTGCATTGTGACATTGCAACTCTCACTTCATCACTTTGACAAAATCGTCTGTGGATGCTCCTGGTGATAAGGCCTTGCGTTCAAGATGAAAACTGTTGCGTTTGGCAAGAGGTTCAAGATTCCAAAGCCCAGAATTATCAAGGTAGAAGTGGAGGGAGTAAGGAAGATGAACTTGCTGGAGATATGCAGAAATCCTTCACTAGGCTAAAGAGGATAAAACTTTTTTAAGTCCAGAGGAGCAAGATAAAGTTCAGGAGCGTCTCAGACAGACGCCTGCCTGATTCACAGCAGAATAGGTGCACAATCAGACTTGCAAGATTCTGTTATTAAAGACAATCCGAATAAAAGTAGTGTTAGCCTTACTATGAAGTTGATTTCCTAGTCTGGTCTACCTTGTGGGGCTGACAATAAGTGAGTGCTCATTGTCACCCTAATGACTAGGGCAGAATGACTTGGAGGATATATATACAGGATGTAGATACAGAACACATTGAACTCCTGAACATAGTTCCTAATTCCCAAAATTCTACTTTGGTTCCTTGCTTCTTTCAGGTAACCAATTAATTGTTTTCACCATCTTTGCTCCTTATATTGTTTCTTTATCCTATACTAGCTTATATAAATTCAACATTTAGTCATGGTTAGAAAAGTTAGGTGATACCCTCCAATTCTCTTTGCACAGTTGTTGGATATAGAACATATCCTTGATTCCAGTAAAGACTAATTATACAATTAATTAAAGTTGGTGGGTAAAATTTCATCTTCATTTTAACACATAAAGCCAATTCTGCTTTAAAATGTACAACCATCAGATTCTTTGTTAAAAATGGACAATTACAGCTCCACCTTACAGAGGAGCAATCATCCTGATTAATATATTTATCCAATAAAGATAGCAGCATGGATGGTCTCTGTAAAGTGATAAAACTATTTCTGAGTGAATATTTAAAAGTTGGATCCATTAAACCATTTAATTCCCAAAGAAATGCAAAGCTGAACTAATGCAGGTTGTTATACAAGGAGCAATCATCCTGATTAATATATTTATCCAATAAAGATAGCAGCATGGATGGTCTCTGTAAAGTGATAAAACTATTTCTGAGTGAATATTTAAAAGTTGGATCCATTAAACCATTTAATTCCCAAAGAAATGCAAAGCTGAACTAATGCAGGTTGTTATACATAAAGCTACTCTGTTGATGATGCATTTTCTATACTGTGATGCTCTAAAGCTCAGACGTGCCCCCTTTAATTATATTGCTTTCAATATCCTTGCCTACAGTTACAGTTCAGATTCTTTATTCCATCAGTGATTTCTATACTACCCAGCCCAAAGCATAATAATTTAGAAGTACAGTACATCCTATCAAGTTCAGAGACTTATTTCCACATAATTCTTTTTTAATTGTGAGCCACCCAGAGTCACCCTCTGGGGGACATGGGAGGCATATAAATTTAATAAATAAAAATCAATAAATAATTAAAAATAATGGCCTGCTGAGGAATGGCCATTATCTTTTGCCAAGTACGTTCCTTCACTGGCCACTAAGGGAATGTACTTCTAACAGTGACTATTTATGATATCCTCAATTCTTTGGTGTGACTGTGGTGGGCGCTAAGATGCTGCCACAGATTGCCTGTTCATATATTCTTATGAGAGGCAGATGTGACTTTCCAATCCATTTCTGCTCTGACCAAACAGTCTTTTGCTAGGAAACATCTCCATTTATGGTGAATATGCCAAAAAAGAAAAGAACAGAAAGAAAAGACTTGGCATGGAGAAATCTAAGATCTCATGAGGAATACACATATCCATTATGATGGAGCCCTAGCAAGGTGGTTTCTATATGCTCTCTCTTGAAAGAAAAATTCAGGTTTTCCTTGTTTTGAAGAGCTGGTGTTGGAAGCTTCAGAGAACAAAGGTTCTTGCCATATGAACGCCTCCAAGTTCAGTTCAACCCAACCCAGAGTGGATTAAAAAGCAACTGATTAGGCAGATATATATGTATCATCCCAGCCACAAATCAAGACATTGATCTTTCTGAATCTGTGGGCAGATGCCAGCACATCTTAGGACTTGATTGGTCCCAAATTTAACAAAGGATAGTACTCCCTTGACCATCCCCCACAGCCTGAGAAAGATAAAATTGGATGCTTGCAAAGCTAATGGTTGACAAGGAAAGTCCTATACAGAATGAACGAACGAACGAACGAACGAACGAACGAATGAATGAATCCTTCCCTCTTACATCCTTGCAATATGCCTGGTGTAAACACAACACAAGCCCTAATCTGGCAGAACGGAGAACAGCACATGGGCTCTGATACCTGGCTTGAGGGCTTTAGCTGAGTTTTCCAAAGAGCAGAGAGAAAAGAAGATGGACTTTTCCGGAAAAGAATTTTCTGCTAGTTTCCTTGTGGAAACTAGCTGCTGTGGAAGGGGGACACAAAGCCAACGTTTTGTAAAGCGATGGAGAGAGCTCCCGCTAACAAAAGAGTTTCCTTCCAAGAAGGCAGAAGCATTTGCAGATGGCCAGACCTTTGAAAGATCCCATATATGGGTTACAGTATTTTACTGCATGGAAAATACTGGTGGTGGAGGTAGATGTGGGAGGGTGTTTCACTGTGCAAAGAAATGCAGCACGGAAACATTAATCAAGGCCTCTACTGGGGACTTCACTGAGCTGTTGGCTTATAAATTTGGGGTTAATGAAGTGCTCCAGTATTGTCACAACGTACCTGTGCAGTTAGGCAGACAGGGTGATAACTGCTGTAGCATCTGAAAACCGATCGCATAAATCCATTCCAAAGAATCCGAAGTAAAGTTAAGCATGCAATTGATTCATCATTGTCAGAAAGACGTAGGAATGAGCAGAAAGTCCATATTACTGAGTGTGGGCATGCGTGTGTGTGCGTGCGTGTGTGTGTGAATGAGGGAGAGAGACCAACTGTAACACATAAATAAAATAAAAGCCCCAGCCGTAGGAGCTAAGTGTGGGAATTGTCTGCTTTTAAAAGGCTTGCTCTTACATATGCAAATCTTTAATTAAACATACTCATAAAACTATAATGAACCGTTCATTTAATTAAATGGGGTGACTCATTTCATTAATTTTTAGCAAATCACAGAGCCACTGCCTTGCCCTCCGCCTTGGAATTCAGAAGGAGGAGATGAAACGTTGAAAAGAAATTGTCTGTGCTTATGTGAGACGTTTAGATGTTACTTTTGTTTCAGAGGCACACGGTGACTTGTTTAAGTGCTGTCCATAATCAATGTGGTTGATTTGATTTGATTTTTCCCTCTCTCTCCTCGCCGCCCCCTCCCCATCCCCGGAAATTATGCCTGCTTTTATTTCTCGGTTGTGTCACCCTCATCACACAGCTGCCCCACTCCCGGATGCAATGGATCAGGACACATTCGAGGAAAGTATGCAAGACACAGGAGGTGAGCTTTCAGGGCTACTGCCATTTCTAATTCCATTGCCCTCACTGTCATCTTTGCTGAATTCAGTCATTTCCATCCATCCAGCAAGGCAGATCAACACCCCAAACCATGTTCTGAATTGGTGACCAGTCTTCCTGGGGAAGTATCCTTCCCATTCAACAGCCGTTAAAGCAGGGTTCCTCAACCTCAGCACCTTTAAGATGGGTGGACTTCAACTCCCAGAATTCCCCAG